TGAATGAAACGTCATCACCACATCTAAACTCAATTTTCTGTACATTTTCGATTATAGATCAGGAACTAATCCAATGCCAGCTGACCATCTCATTTTATTGACTTTAATAGTGTTATTATTAACATCACTATGATACAATAGTAATTTCATTTGGAAATATTGTTCTGATAGTTAACTTGTTGAAACATTACTTATTATTATTAGTCCCTTGGGTTCCGAATGGAACATAGGGATTCAGTAGCACATTCTCCAGTGAACTCTGTTCTCTGAAATACTTTCAACCTGTTGCCACGAATGCCCACAAGCTCTCATTTCCTCCTCACAACATCTCCTCCACATCACCCTCCACTCCAAAGCCTAGCTCATCGTTCCCCATCTGGGTTCCACACAACGGCTCGACCTGGCACCTGATGTCCTCAGTCCGCCCTCTAAGTGTATGCCCAATCATATCTATCTCCAATTCCTCACACTGCACATTTGTTCACTGATAGGTTCTTGCTTCGTTGGTTCCTTCCCTGAGTTCCCTGTTGCTAATTCTTATTATTCTCGCCATCTGATATTCAGTAAGGAGCCAGTGTAGGCAGTTTTTGATGAATGTGTGTAGTTTGTTGGAAATGCCTTTCGTAACACGCCAACTCTCTCAACCAACACATAGAAGCACTGACTTGACTGACATTGGTGTTCAAAATGCGTATCATGTTCACGCTTTATGCTGAGTGGAGTGCAGTAGATGTTCACACTGGTTTCAGTTTAATGAAGGCGTGTCTTGCTGTCTTTCCGATCCTGGCTGTCTTTGACTTCCTCGTGTGTGCCTGTGTTGCCTGTAGTTGAAACAGTGCTTCCTAGATAGGTGTGTGTGAAAGAGGCTACTTGCTTCAAGTTTCTCCCATTGATGATGATTGTAGCTTGTTGTTGCAGTCACCTGAAGTCCAGTCTTCACCTCACTACCTCTTCTGTCAAATTGTTAGTTTTCGCCTGTAGATCTTCAAGTTTGTGTGACATCAGACACAAGTCATCACTGGCGAAATGCAGATCTTCTAGGTTTTTTTCCGCAGTCCAGCTAGCGTATCCCCCTCTTCTCGCTCCCCACTGTTCGCAGCATGATCCAGTCAACCACAATCAGGAATATCATGGGGGATAGTAGGCAACCTTGTTTCAACACATTTTAGCCACATGTACATTACTTACTGAGAATTCAATACTGTATTGAACATTTAATTTGGAATAAAGTAACTATTATTATTATTATTATTATTATTATTATGTCAAAAAGCCTGACATGTAAGTCCAGAAGTTGCAAACTGTCACAAAGCAGAGGACTAGAAATCAAAGTGAATGAATAAAAGCCTTGTACTTTAGTCTATTTTGTGGTTGGCAGTTACATTCAAGACGTAGGTTATGTCCTATTCATGACTCAACGGTTGGATTTATCTGCAACTCAATAACGAGTCCTAAGTAGGAGGAAATGCATGAACAAGATTTCACTGCTAGCCAATGAATTGACCACATTACAATAGATATCCGAGCAATATCGCAAAATCCATATTAGAGTCTATTTACCAATAAACGTCGAGTGATTGAACTCCGAATAGCAACAGGCAATTACAAGTATCAATGAATATGAACTTTAATAAAACAATATGTATTCCTCTAGTAACTGACTAAAATATTAACCGATTAAATTATACATAATAATAGTCTTATGCTTTAAAATGATTGACAATATTTTAAATCTTCAGTAAATTGAATTCATTGTGAAAAGGAAATTTACTCGAGTTAATTGTCTATCCTTTAAGATGAAGCTGAACTAAAGATCTGATAAAAGCAAAAATAATGTTTATCTGATATCTAGAGAAACAAGTGAAATGGAACATTTCCAAGAAATTCGCCTTGGTATATAATACTTGTATACTTACTTGTATATAATATTTATGCATAGTTGAATTTATGTTACAAATATCCCCTTTCTTGACAAGATATTATTTTACATAAAAATATATTTCTTATGGTTTTGGTTTCTAAGGTAAATGAAAATTAGAGAAAACATTCAGAAGCCAAGGTTAGTCCACTGGCTAAAAAGTTTTGCTTGATTTGACACTGTTAACTAACGAGTTTCATAGAGATACTTATCGATGTCAGCATAACAGCATACAGTAACTTTGGAATATTGTTTTTAGAAAGATTCAATAAGTTATTGAGCTTAGAACATGACATGGAACTTCTGTCATTAAAGTAACGAAAACACTAGAAGGTGAAAGATATACGAAGGTAAATGAAAAGCGAAGGACTGAGCTTTGGAGGATAGAATACGATTTCATCTGAGTCACTTAAACTTGTTTTGCAAAATTTCAGTAATCTTTCGGTGTCTAGAAAAAAAGCTTGTACTTGCGCTGACTCGAGCATAAATTCATAGGCTTCTCAGATGGTTTTAATCTAACAGTTTACACCTAATACCGATGACCAGTACCCGAAATTAAACGCATTTGAACGACATTAGAAAATTTTATAATTTCAATGCCTATCAGCTCTCTGTTATACTTTGCACTTACACCGAAGTTAGGTGATAATGCTTTAGCATTTGAAGCGATAGGTACTTGGTTCGATGCTCCGGTTGTAGGTGCATCCATCTGACAAATTCCAAATAGAATGAAGCGCTCGTTCTGGATTCCTTTGCTAGTTAGTCATCAAGATCAACATTTTATCATGAATATTCAGAAGTATTGAAAAATATACATGGGAGCTCATACGAACGAAAACAGAGGTAGAGCAAGTTGATCCTATATAGCAATAGAAAATTACAAACATCATAATAAAAAAGATATTTTTATATCTCATAGAAAATAAATATTCATGCTTGACAAAGTTAAAAGCTGATCAAACCTGAATACTTAACGTTGACGATGTTGATTTTCAAATGTTTTCTTTATCCTTCAACCCATCTGTTAGTCAAATGTCTCACTTTTATCCATTACTGTAGTTCAATGAAATACTTTCAGTATAATTACTTTATTTAAGTTATTTGCATTGTAAATTTGACTATCTTAAAGTTATTCTAAATAGACAAAACAATCAACCAGTTTTATTCTTTTATTCACTACTAATCGATGAAGAAAATCTATTTGTTCATTTGAGTTGTATCTTTTCTTTTTTATTCATTAAAACTATTACAATGTAAAAAATAATTTAATTTAAGTCACCTATCTGGGCATCACTGTTTCAACTACAGGCAACACAAGCACAGAGGAGGAAGTCAAAGACAGCCACGATCGGAAAGACAGCAAGACAAGCCTTCATTAAACTGAAACCCATGTGAACAGCTTCTGAACTCCACTCAGCATACAGCGTGAACAACATCCGGATTTTGAACACCAATGCCAGTCAAGTCAGTGCTTCTGTATGATGGTTGAGAGACTTGGTGCGTTATGAAAGGCATTTCCAACAAACTACACACATTCATCAACAACTGCCACCTAGGCTCACTCACTAGTGAAGATCGATCGGATGGCCAGAAAGAATAAGGAACAAAGAAGTCTGGCTGGCTGGCGACGAACCAACGAAGCAAGAACCTATCACTCAACAAATCTGCAGTGGAAGGAAGTGAAGATAGATTGTGCATACACTGAAAAGGCCGACTGGGGATATCACGCTCCAGGCCAGGCACTCGAGAGGAACCCAGATGAGAAACGACGAGTTGGGCGTCCTAGGAGATAATGACATAGAGGTGATTGTGCGAGGAAGAAATGAGAGGTTCTGGGCTGTCATGAAACGAGGTTCAAGGGATAAATAATAACAATAAGATGATAATTTATATATCTATATCAATGAAAACAATATACTTTTTTATTCTAAAACTAGATTGTCTAAACAAACTGTAGTAATAATGATCATCATAATAGTCACAATAAATGTGATAACTGTCTACAAACTTAAAATTATTTTCCCCACTAAACATTTGACATATGAAAAACAGTTAATTATTTGTTTTTGTCTCTATGCATTTGTTTTTAATGAAAATACATTAGGTATCTATATGAATTTATGAGAAATTAATAATTACTTTCTCGAATATATACTTATCCAATTCGTTTTCTATCTTCATATAATCGTAATAAAGTATTCAATTTAATGTATATACATATGTGTATATATGAATTGACTGGTACTATTCAGTGCTATGTAATAGTGTTTGTGAAATGAGTATAATTTTGAAAAAGAGAAAATCTTGAAATTAAGAGAAAACAATAATGATAATCATGAGTTTGACAAAGATTTTTCTCACTGAAAATAATACAATAATCATATCTCTGTTTATAAGTAAAACAGTAGATAAAAAAACTAATAAACTTGTATCTTATAGGAAAGAAATCAACACTGATAAAAGACAGATGAAATAAAGGCTATGGTCAAAAGTACAGCAGAAATAAATCACTATTGAACAATAAAGTGTTGAATAGAAATGAAACGAATAAGGAAAACAATGAATTAAATGTATAAAGTACTTAGAAAACTCTAGTAAACTGATTTTTCTCACTATTAAACATAAGTCTGTAGTCTAGGTAACAGACATGAAAATCTGTCAATGAATATAAAAACTATCACAAAAAAAACAAAAAAAAGAATAACTTTTTTTTACTATAAATTCACTTGGTAATAAAATGTAATGAATTATTAACTAACTAAATGAAGATTTGAAGATTAGAAAGAAGAAGAAGAAGAAGGGGAAGGGGAAGGCAAATACCTACGAGGAAAATACAATCGAATACTTCTTTATAATTTAATGAGTGAATATAAACAATATTGGAGACTGTAAAAATTTTATTAGTATATTAAAAGATATATAGGATGAATGTATTAATTAATACTCTATTCTAATGTTACATATGAACAATAATAAACATTAGATAAAAAGATTTTTTTCGAATAAAATAATTGAATATATATATATATATATATATATTCCAGTAAAACTAAAATAGATAACATGAAAATATTGAAATATGTTCAAGTATAATGTGTTCATTTATAAATGTGTATTATTTATAACATCTGAATTAGACATTTCAATATTACTTGAAAGTATTTTAGATGATTTTAAATTTTCATTATTATTCTGTCTATTAATTATTTTACTTGTAGAATATTTTAATTGAGTACCTTCAATTAATACCTGTGATGATTGAATATCTTGATGTAATAAATAAGGAGCAGTTAATGGCATTAATATTGCACCTAATGGAGCAGTGATTAATATTGATATTGCTGCCAATGTTACAACCTTTAAAAGAAGAAAAAAGTAGTAAACATATAATACAATTGGTTATAAGCTTTTTAATAATTATATTTAAATCAAACAAGTATAACTCGTTAAGGTTTTGTAGAAGATCTGAAAGAAAAGAAAGGTGCCTGCACATTGATTAGAAGAAGAGCCACCTTGAAAAACTCTCAGTGAGTGATGTTGTTCCTACCGGTATTCACTGGGAAACAGGTATATCCAGTTGATGAGTCCCAAATAGGATGAAATGCGCATCCTGGCTTCCATTGCTAGCCACAATCCATCATCAACATAATTAGAACGCTGGCAATATCAAGGCATCCGTACAGGTGCCCATATATCAATAGAGACCGATCAATTCAGTCCAATCAACCACGGTATGATATATTGACAGAATTTTAAAGCTTCCAGGTTTGTAATCATCATAGACTGATGTCGGTTAGAGAAACATTGGAAACCTTGGAGTACTGGACAGCTATTTCATCCTAGTTTAGGAGTCTTCAGCAGTGAAAACCCATAACCCCATCAAAGATAGAACTCAGGTTCCGCAGCTAGCGAGTTACCATTGAGCCACTGTGTTGGAATTCAATAGTGCATATCTTCTACTTCTGTCAGTTGACTACAGAACGTTATAGAGCAAGAAAATGCACATTATTAAAGCATATTATCTTATTTTCATCATTTGTATTGTGAAGTAAATTGAAATTATCAAATGGATTTGTAATAACTCAACAAAATTTTCACTACCATTTAGAGTATTCCTGTAACATACTCCAAAATTTAAGTATATGTTGAGTTTAACATATCTAGGATGAGCATTTAAAGGTTTCCTAGATTGTAGATTCTAAGTAAGCCAAATAATTGAAACTTATGCATCTCTCTGTCAATTAAAGCTGATTAGAAAATACTTCATTTACAAATTTATTTACTTAAAAGAACTTAAGAGTAATGGGAAAAAAAATGTCTCCTGACCACTAATAATAAGTGAATTGTTTTAAAGTGAAATTATTTTTGATAAAATTCATGAAATTTTCAAAAGTGTCTTCACTAATCAATTTTTCATCTGGTAAATATTCTTTTCACAAATTTGTACTTAAAGCTTGTACCAAGTAACAGTAAAAGCCTAGTCTAATTGATCTATCCATACACAGCTGAAGATAAAGATTTCTTCTTGTCTGGTAATAGCTTAAATATAACCAGTTAAACGCAGTATGTACATCTTACAGTTGAGTAGGGGATCTGTAATGTCATGAAATATGTTCAAAACGTCCAAAGGTGCAATCAAACAAATGATTTTCGAAAATTTTAGAAAAAATTTTCAGCACTGCTTGGTATTATTTCGCTCAATCACTTGACACAATCTCAAAGTAGTAATCAACGCAGGAAACAATGTTTCACAAATTATCAATATGTATAAATATGTCATAAATGACAAAAAGATAAAATAACACACCTGTTCACCCCAACCAATAATATCTGGAGCAGAGTTTAATTGTCTAGCTGTATCCAATGCAACTGGTCCAACAGCTGCTTGTACAGTAGCTTTTGGCAACCATGCAAATGCTATAAACATACGTTCACGCATATTCAACTTTGACGGTAGGACGGCAACTATTGTGGCTAACAGACGAATAAATAAAGCCAATAAAAAAGCACCTATTCCACGTCCTAATATTTGATAGAATGAGAAAAAATGAAACTCAAATATGAATACATGGGCATTAAATAAATTTCTATGCAACCTTCACAGAAATATATATATATATATATATATATATATATATATATATATATATATATATATATATATAGTAATTATCTAGATGCAAACAATGTAATCATATTTCTTTAAAATGACTGAAGCAGAAATCTTTTGGCCTGGAGTGGTTCACGAAGAAAACATTTCAATGGAAAGCTAATTTATTTATCAATTTGTCGACAATCTAATCCTATAGAGAAAAACTTTGACTGGTCTAAAGAATCCCTCATAGTGTTTAGCATTCTCATAAAGGGCAATGAATATAGTATGATGTCTAGAATATCGCTGTATAAGTGGTAATAAAGTACACTTGATAATAATGATTATTCTCTCTTTGTTCCAAACAATAAGTATGATACAGTGCGAAATGCTCAGGATCTAATTATTCACCAAATGCGTCGGAAGAACAATACTATTAGATGCAACGGGTATTTCATCTGAGTGGTGTTAATAATAACAGTTTATTATTATGTTATTATTTCTTCCTTGGGTTTCTAGTTGAACATACAGCTTCAGCAGCACGTCGCCATTCCACTCTCTTCTCTCCAGTCTCCTCAACCTCTCTCCAAAACTCCACACAAGCTTTCATTTTTCCTTCACACCCTCGACTCCAATGCCCAAATCGTCGCTTCCAATTCCAATTTCACTCGACCGCCTGACCTGACACGTGATGTCCCCAATCTGCCTTCTCAGTGTATGCCCAATCCAATCCATCTTGACTTTCTTCTCCTGCATATTTGTTGGGTGGTTGGTTCGTCACCCGGCTAGATTTCCTTGTTGTCTATTCTTATTCTTCTGGCCATCTGACCTTCAGTGTCAGTATGGAGTGAGCTGATGAATGTGTGTACCTTGTTAGAAACGCTCTTTGTAACGCGACAAGTCTCTCAACCATCATACAGAAGCACTGACTTGACGGGCTTTGGTGTTGAAAATCCGGATGTTGTTCACGCTTCATGCTAACTGCAGTAGATCTTCACAGTGATTTCAGATTAGTGAAAGCCTGTCATGCTTTTGAGATCGAGGTTTTGACATCCTTGTCTACGCCGCTACCTGTTGTTGACACGATGCTGCCCTGGCTAAGTAGGTGAAAGAGACTACTTCCTTTAGGTTTCTCCCGTTCATGGTGATTGGTGCTTGTTCTTGATACTGTTGCTGGTTGGGTATCTCCATCACATCTATCTTCTCTACATTCACCTGAAGGTAGTCCCGTCTTCTCTCCCTCGCCTCTTCTGTCAACTTGTTGGTTTTCGCCTGTAGATCTTCGAGTTTGTGCCACAAGACATTAAACATGAATCATCGTCGGTCAAATCCAAATGTTTTAATGTCTTTTCATCGGTCCAGCCAACCAGCGTATGCCCATCTTCTCACTCCTCACGGTTTGCTGCATGATCCAGTCCAGTCCATCACAATCAGAAAGATGATCGGTGATAGTAGGCGGCAGTCTTGTCATACTCCTTCCTGTCTTCACTTTGAAGGCGTTACTGAGCTTTCCATTGTTGATCACTCGGCATGTGGCGTTTTCATATAGCTGTTGGTTGAGGTTGATAGGGACTAGTGGCACTGAAACCGGGGTGTTGAAGCAGCTGCCTGCTAAACTACTTCTCGGTGGACGATGTCGAATACCTTTTCAAAATCGATGAAGTTGAGGTAAGGTAGAGTGTTGACTGCCATTCCGTGCTCTGTTCTATGATGATATGTAGCGTAGAGCTGCTATTTGATCCGCACAGGATTTGTAGTTTCTGAATCCAGCCTGCCAGCCTGTTTCGGTCGTAATCCAGTAGAATGCAGAGAATTTTTTAATCTTTCCACAATGATGCGGCTTACTATTTCGCTTGGTGTGGACAGGGGTGGAGCATGATTCTCCACTAGTTCTTGCAAAGACATATGTCTTCCTTCTTTAGGGGTTCGACAAGGTAGCACTTCTTCCAATCTTCAGGTACCTTTCCTTCCTTTCAAACGAAATAGTGATTTAGATGATACAAATGAAGCTACAATTTCATGTATTCACCTATATGTTTTCGGAAACAATGTGTGATCTAGCTAGCTTTTAGTTTAAGTAGTCATATTATATCACGTTTGTGAGAAACTGGCATCCTTCACCACTGAAATGAATCGAATCAATGTTAGTTCTCGTGTATTTCGACAATACTACAGTAAAAAAATAGAAAACAATAACTTTCAATATTGAAAAGCTCATCCAATACGGTAACCAATTAAATAAGACTTAAAGTGAATCATCATAATTAATATTCAGGGTATATTGAGTCATCTGCATAGGAGCTTATATGCCAATAGAGGTTGAGAAACGTGTATCTAGTAAAAAGGCGAAGAATTACGAGCATATCAATAAAATAGCAATAATTAACACCTGTTGTACAAGAGTTGGCTATCGCACTTCGTTGTCATAATAAATAACGCCTTGGCGTTTGAAATGATGGGTATAAGGTTGAAATCTCAGTGGGAATAACATCACTCACTAAGGTGTAGGTAAATCCAGCTGACGAATGAGTCCTAAATAGGACGAAACGCACATTCTGAATTCCTCTGCTAGCCATAACCAAGTGAATTATCTTATTTAAATTTGCTTAAACATTTCACTTTGGAGTGTATCGTTTTGCTATGAAAGGTTAATGATTTTATTTGTTGGCTTGTTGAAATGCTTTTATCGCTCGGAAAAGCAAGTTCGATTGATGTAGTATTTTATTTTCCTCTCATCATTATCCGATTGACAAGATGGATACAAAAGAATTTGAAGCCTTTTTATGAATCCTACCTGATATGAAACAGTTTTTTGCAGCGTCAAATAAAAAACTTAGAGAGAAAATAAGATCTATAAAAAACAAAACTAGTTTCACGTACACACGTACAGGTAATCGCTGTTTATTAGTACGATTATGTTCAAGGATGGGAAGTATATTTAACAAACTATTATCACCCAGTTCTGAATAAAAGTTGCTCAGTAATTTGAAACTATTATAAATCTTTTTTAACGAGTTATCCTGTATTTCTTCCTGATTGACAGTGGTTTATTTAAATCTCCAGTCTACTTAACCCACCTCTTGACCTCCCCATAATTTACCAAAATAGGCTATTGATTTCACCGCTTTCTCTATACAATTGTAACTTCAATTTGTATGATATATTCATATACACTTTTAAGATATGTAAAACTTGTCATAATTTTTTTCATCTAAATAATAAATGTAAATCAGATTCTTAGTATAAACTGTAGACGTCTACTCTAAAAAATTAGATTATCGATAAAATCTCCAATATTTCAATGATTACTGTGATTAAATTTTGAGAGAGTTGTGGAGATTTGGAAATATTTCAAGTTGTTATTCATCAAAGACTGACATCAGTTGGAGGAACAAAGGAAACCTGGGAGCACTCGACAGCTGTCTCGTCCGACTAGTATGGGACTCCTCAGCAGTGCGCACCCACCACCCCCACACCACCACCGATCGAACCCGCGATCTTCAGGTTCCGTGACCAGCGCCTTACCATTGAGCTAGCCACTGGGTCACAATCCAATGCTCCATATTTCCAACTTCTGTTGGCTTACGATATATAGCGCAACCGCCACTCAATGTCATCGTTGAGTATCTGTCCTCATGTAATACAAATTTAATCAAGTTACAAAAACCTTAATTGTATATCATAGATGATAATGATTTGAAGACTTATTGATTTCAAAGGATTCTGTCAAGAATTATGTAGCTTTACAAAGAACTGAGATGATGATTTAGCTACTTTCAATAATACACAGCAGTGAGTCTTGAATCACCTGTACTTTGAATTGTGTAATGATTCAATCTGTTGTATAACTAAGAAACTGACACCTAGATATCTAAGTAATTATCAGTTCACTTACGTTACTGTTGTATGTTTGACAACTATTTGGAGTTACTCATAATATATTTTTTTGCAACTCCCATATTTAATGCTCACTTTTCGATGGGGATATAGTGATTTTATTCCATGTGACTAGAAATGTTAACGAATCTTGAAAACGTTTAGATCAATTTGGATACAAAACTGGATCTGATAATCAAATAAATGCACTGCACAAATTTTGTCCTGGATATATGAAATGCTACAGAAAAAATTACCATAACATCAAGGGAAAATTGTATCTCAAAGATATTTACATAACAGTGTTTTCAACTTATAGGAATGGTATCAAATATAAACTGGAACATTGTAGAACTCTATTGATAGAGTCAAATTCCATTTCAAAGTTTATAATGTGTTTTCACTCTAGGGAAAAAGTATCTTCTACCTTTTAATTTTATTTTTCTCTTAACTTGATTTTTCAGAAAAGGAGAAAAATATCATAGAGTAATCCAAGACAATGAGTAATATCAACAACTGCCTACGCTGGCTAGTTACTGAAGATCAGATGGCCAGAAAGAATAAGGAACACGTAACTCTGGTTGGCTGGCGATGAACCAACCAAGAACCTATCATCCAACAAATATGCACTGGAAGGAAGTGGAGATGGATTGGATTGTGCATGCAATGAGAAGGCTGACTGAGGACATCACGCATCAGGCCTGGCCGTCAAGTGGAACCCAGATAAGAAACGACGAGTTGGGCGTTGGAGTCGAGGGTGATATGGGGGAGATCTTGTGAGGAAGAAATGAGAGCTTCTGCGCTGTCGTGGAGCTAGGTTCAAAATATTTCAGAGAAGAGAGTGCACTGGAGACGTGCTACTGAAGCCCTATGTTCCATTAGGAACACATAGGGACAAATAATAATAATAATAATAATAATAATAATAATAATAATAATAATAATAATAGTAATAATAATAATATGAGTTAAACATCTTGAAATGACTATGGAGAATAAATTATGTTCGAAACATAATCCACTATGTGATATAGCTAATAAATAAACTAAAATG